TCTGCTTCCAGTCGGCAACCAAAAAGGGCTTTGGGGTAAGCTAGCCTTTCATAGAGGCTATATATTTGACATGGCGGAAGCAGACTTGTTGGAGGGCGAAACCTTCTCTCCACGGAAAAAAAAACACTCTCAGCAGCAAAATCGTCCCTCTGCGGCATATTACCCGCGTCACTCACAGATAAAAAAAGGCCAACGCAAAACAAATCATGGGAAAGCTAGAGCTTTCCCATGAAAGATGGAGTATGGAGAGAGAAAGGGTGATTTACTTCCGTAGTAATATCAAAACGAGTCCTGGCCGAGAAATTTCGAAGTGAGAACACATGCTAATGGATTTTCGTGGAACATTTGCCATTTGCCAGTCAAAAATAAGTAGTTTGGGTTTGCCTCCCCCACCAGTTTATAGAACTGGAACTACAAGAGGATTTCTGATAAAATATCTCGAAGTGGATAATTCTAAAAAAGGTTTTTTGTTCTAGATTTTTAGTATGTGGGTACTAGTGGGTTAGGTCGGATATGGAACAAGTAGCAAATTATTCAAATTGAGACTTAATTTTGTAAATCCGATAGAGATTGTATATAGAGCTTGTATATATATAATCACACGATAAAGTTTTCATTATTGCATAGACGCACTGATTTGACAACGTTTCAATCTCCTGCTTCTTCAGTTATATGTCCATCGAATGGTCAAAGTCTTCACCCCCACTGAAGCCAAGGGACTAGCTACTCTGATACGAGCTACGAACCAACATCACGACAACGTCAAAAAAGTAAGTGAATTAGAAAGGCCGACATTTGCTTTCGAACAAATGTAGCGGATGGCTTCATCAGATTTTACGACATGGCAGGGAAAGAAGGAGAAACACAAGGGAATACAATCCTTTACATTGATATAACTATAGTATGAAGTGACAACAGTTGGATAGCTATCCCCTACATTATTGGTAAGGATTTTTAATTGCATAAATGTAGTCTGTTAAGTTTCAACATAAAAAGAAGCGTTTATGTCCCGCATTCCAATGCTGGAGCAGGAAAGCTTGAAAAACCTACCAAACCACTCGAATGCAGTTCATTCTGTCAATATGGCATGGCTTTGTACAGGTGTTAATTGAGTTAAACCAATAAAATCCCAATAGCCAATCAGCAAGTAGAATAGAGGAAAGCTGCATGCCTATTGGTTGCTTGCTCTGCATGCCATTCTGATGACACATGTCCAAATATGCCAATACACTGCTATAGTACATTTTATATATCACACCAAATAGCTCAAATAAAACCACTCTAAAAGCCTGTATCCCTCCCCCCGCAAAAAAAATGAAAAAAAAAATCGCCTGGGGGTATTTTCCCACTCTACCTTCATGCCAAACCCTATGTTATTTTGCCCAAAAATGAAGGAGTTCAAGCAATTGAAATTAAAGAAATGACAGGAGGAGAAGGAGAAGAACATGAGGAAAACAATATGTCTTCACCACATCAAACCCTATAGATGTAATGTCTTGCAAACGGTTCATATTGTGGGAAGGTGGATGTTTGCTGTTCCGTGGTGCCCATGGTAAAAAGGGCTCGTAGTAGCGAGTTTTTGTGTGTTTACTGTAAATGACCGCGGGTAACCCCAGATCGAACGCCCGTTCCGTTCGAATGACGTCATATCGAACATGATTGGCGGGTTCGGGGCTTGGTGTCCATAGCAGCAGAGTGGGACTTTTCGGCCCCTATTTGACCATCGTGTTTTATGATTCTGTTTTTGTGTGACACACGTTTGTAACGTATGCTGCTTGTGTGTCATTGTGTTTTTATTGTGTTCAAATCAAATCAAATGATATGAGAGAGTTGAAAACTATATTTTTTCCTGTAACATTGTTGTTTTCATTTTAGTTCAACACAGAAGATCTTGTAGCAGCAGGGCCTCTGGTTGAGGCGGCAACTGTCCACAATGTTGCTGACGATTTTGGAGACATCTTGTATCAAGAGGTTGTGGAGTCTTCAAATGTGAACCGAACGAACCAGGTAGGGAAACGTTCCTTAGACCATGTTTAAACTTAAAACTTTTGGTCCAACACAAAAAAAAAGTTCTCTCACTTAGAGCTTTCGACCAGTCATGATCACTCTGGTCTTCGTCAGTAGACTGACCCAGACTTCGAAAGATTCTAGTACAAAACTACAAGAGAATTAGCTGAAACCTAAATACCTGCTTCGAGAGTACATCAAAGGAGGATGGGATGGCTTGTCTGATGATCCATGTATATCACACACTTTGCCCGATATCAGGCAGAAAGCGGGTGGTGCAGCCCCAAAAGCTCTCCATCCCTGGCGTTCATCTAGCTATATGGTAACCATTGTCCTGCTGGCATTCCTGGCACAATATTCTTCAAGAACTTCATGCCCTAATCAGATCATAGACCCCCAATTTTTTGGCCCTGAAGTGGCATAGTTACTTCCGCATTCGTTGCGTTTCGCTGCGGTGTGATGCGTTGCACGAGAAATACATGATACCCCCAAATCGTACCTATACAGGGTGCTAGATAGATGGTACTGTATGTGCAGAACAACGATTGTTGTGCTCCGCAGAACAAGGCCAAAATTGCTCGGTACTAGTACTGTTGCAATAAGCGCTGTGACTTATAAGGCCACACCTACTCAATTTTATGGATGACATCCGCGCGCGCATTGATTTTCACCTGTCGCCCTAAAAAAAAAAGATCAACTCCACCGAGGCTCTGGCCTAGCTCTTAGGCCTGGGTACTGTGGGTAGGCCATGGTATTCAGCGACAAAACGGAGCCGAGCACTCAGGCTATCGAATTCGAAACTACACGACTCAAGAACTCAGTACATAAGTAAAGTACCGATTCATAAATGCCACAAAAAGCCAGCATGTGCCAGCTTGTCGTATACGTCGCTAAGTACTGTCGCGAATTCACAATACCAGCTTTGTATTCCTGTGGTTTAGTAGCATTTTTCTTTTTGGCCGGAATTTTTTTACTCGCCCGCGCGCACTAGTTTGGGGGTCTTCAGAGGATGTCATCCATAAAATTAAATCGGTGTGGCCTAAGTTTGACTGCCATGTTAATCTTACAGGAGGACATGATCGGTTCAGTCAGCTACATCCACAGTATCCAGCAGCTGGCAGAGAATCCTGGTGAGTTTCCTTACTCTTTAAAAACAACTGTTCTTGGCTATATAAGATGAAGTTTGCTTACTGTGGTCAAGGGGTTTTGAGTACTGATATGTACATGTAGTATTTTATTATTTAGGCCATACATGGTCACTGTGGGTATAATTAGAACTTTCTTCCACAGTAATGAATCCGTGACTTGTAAGGGAGGGCAAAAACTTACAATGACGGTTAGAAGTAGGTTAGAAGAAGAAAACACCACCCTGTCATGTAATGGTAACGTCTACATCTTTTCTAACGTCATTCAAATTGAGCGGGTTAGTATATCGGATATTATTATATAGCCAGCTGGCGTTGACCAATCACAAGCCCCTATTTTATATTGATTATGACACCATAATGTCACAGTTAGCACGATACAAGTATTGCAAAATCATCCCAGGCGTGCTTTATTCTCACAAGTGTGCTCAGTTGCAGAATAATGCACACCCTGGAGCAAACCATTATGCAGGGGAGTGGACTCTTTTTGCTGACATTTGTAGCACGTTTCCTTGTTGAATAGAAATGTTTACCGTCTTGTCATCAACCAATTTATTTACCAATACATAACAAAATAAAGACCATGTCAATACATGTGAATTTTGAGCAAACGAAAATAAAACATATTTCGCGCCACCCCCACATTTCTGTATAGAAACATCCAAGTGACCACAGATGACTTCAAATGGAAACTTGCTCTATTCCTTTGGCCCAAAATAACCACAAATGGAATACCAGTTCTGTTCCAAAGTTCCAGTGAAATCATATGAACTCTAAAAGAACAGGTAAAAAGACCACACTAAAGGGTATATAGTAGACGATGGTACATGTCAGAATTTGTCATAGAAGAACTGATT